AAGAACAAATGATAGTTACCTTTCCAGAAGCTTGGGTCAGAATCTAAGGAGCGGCGGCTGCCTGAGCTGTGCACAGCTACGCCCTTCCCCCTCCCCCACACCGGCCTCAGCCAGCTCACTGGCTGTAGAAAATGGTGAAAGAAACGACTTACTATGATGTTTTGGGGGTCAAACCCAATGCTACCAAGGAAGAATTGAAGAAAGCTTTCAGGAAACTGGCCTTAAAGTACCACCCTGATAAGAATCCAAATGAAAGTGAAAAGTTTAAACAGATTCCTCAAGCTTATGAAGTTCTTTCTGATGCGAAGAAAAGGGAATTAAATGGCAAAGGAGGAGAGCAGGCAATTAAAAAAGGTAGAGCAGGTGGTCGTTTTGGCTCCCCAGTGGACATCTTTGATGCTTTTTGGAGGAGGAGAAAGGATGCAAAGAGAAAGAAGAGGTAAAAACGTTGTACATCAGCTGTCAGTAACCTTAGAAGATTTATATAATGGTGCAACAAGAAAACTGGCCCTGCAAAAGAATGTGATTTGTGACAAATGTGAAGGCCAAGGTGGTAAGAAAGGAGCAGTAGAGTGCTGTCCCAATTGTTGAGGTACTGGAATGCAAATAAGAATTCATCAGATAGGACCTGGAATAGTTCAGCAAATTCAGTCTGTATGCATGGAGTGCCAAGGCCATGGAGAGTGGATCAGTCCTAAAGATAGGTATAAAAGTTGCAATGGAAGGAAGATAGTTTGAGAAAAAAAGATTCTAGAAGTTCATATTGACAAAGGCATGAAAGATGGCCAGAAGATAACATTCCATGGTGAAGGAGACCAAGAACCAGAACTGGAGCCCGGAGATGTTATTGTACTAGATCAGAAAGGTCATGCTGTTTTTACTCGGCGAGGAGGAGACCTTTTCATGTGTATGGACATATAGCTGGATGAAACATTGTGTGACTTCCAGAAGCCAATTTCCACTCTTGACAACCAAACCATAGTCATCACCTGTCATCCAGGTCAGATTGTCAAGCATGGAGATATCAAGTATGTGTTAAATGAAGGCATGCCAATTTATCATAAACCATATGAAAAGGGTTGCCTAATCATTAAATTTAAGGTAAACTTCCCTGAGAATGACTTTCTGTCTCCTCATAAACTCTCTGCTGGAAAAACTTCTACCTGAAAGAAAGGAAGTGGAAGAGAATGATGAAATGGACCAGGTAGAACCGATGGACTTTGATCCAAATCAAGAAAGATGGCGCCATTACAATGGAGAAGCATATGAGGATGATGAACATCATCTCCAAGGTGGTGTTCAGTGTCAAACTCTTAATGGGGCCAGTAAATAACACTGCTGGCATTTTATATGCAGTAGTGAATGAGTGAAGGACTGTAATCATAATATGCTCACTACTTGCTATGTTTTTGTTTTAATATTCATCTATAGTAGTGTTTTAAAAAGTTAAATGAAGAATAAATGCAAATATAAAAGCTGAAAAAAGAACAAATGATAACTTATATACTCATACATATGTCCCTTTATTTTTTTGCACAAGTAGTTGCTTATTATAACTACTATTCTACAATTTTCTTTATTTCATGATATTTCTTAGTTTTTCTGAATCAGTAAATAATTTAAAAAGTTTCCTCCTACTCTCTGCACTCTATGGTAAAGTCTGAAAGATTGGAGGACATAAAAGCATTAAAAGTAGTTATGGACACTGGAGACACTGTGGAATGAGGGTGTGAGAAGGGGAGAGTGGAGGGAAGGAAATTAGAGAGAAAAAATAGAGAAGTAAGATAATTGTGGGACACAGAAATGGTTTATTACCTGTTGATGATAACTCGTGACTGGTCTGAGGTATATTTCATGTTGGGTAAATTCTCTATACAAGCCAAATGATGTATAGCAATTGAATGTGTAAAATAATAATAATAAACAAATTTTAAAAATTAAAAAATAAACTTATTTTTATGGCTGCTTAGATTTCCTCTGAGGCTAATTTGTTTATTGAGTCCCCTCTTGGTGAACATTTAGCTTGCTCCCAATCTCTTGAAGTACATAGAATATTGAAGTGAATGACCTGATACATAGTGTCATTTCTGCATACACAAGAGAATATATGAAGGGTACCTTCTCAGAAATGTAATTGCTGAGTCACAGGGTATATGCATTTGTAAATATAGATGTTGTCAAATTGCCCTCCATAAAGGCGTTAATAAATTATACTATAACCACCAATGTTTGACAGTGCCTGGTTTACCTTTCATGTTCTCGCCAGCCCATCCATTAAATTTCTACTTTTGTCAAAGGTAGATTTCTTTTAAAATAGTCTCCAAGTTGTATTTTAATCTACCCATTTTAGTATGAATGCAGTTAAGCAAATTTGCACTAGTCTGAGAGCCATTAGATTTCCTGCTCTTTGAACAGTCTCTTCATAGTCTTTGCTCATTTTTCTGCATGTTTTGCTGTGTCCATTTGTTGTTCTTTCTGTTAATTGATTTCAGAGAGAACGCTTTGTATATTAGGGGAATTAACCTTTTTTCTTTATTTTTTTTCTGGTGGGGGAGGAGGTTGTTATTATTTTTTAATTTGACCAGAGAAAGACAGACAGAGAGAGGGGAAGTGAGAAAGCAAGCAGCCAAGTCTGGGACCAGATCCTTGGTCTGCCATGTGGGAGTCCAGTGCCTTAACCACCATGCCACCTGCTGGCCCCAGCCCTTTGTCTTGATAAGAACTACCAGTATTTTTTCAAAGTTTAACACCTTTGTTTTGATTTTGTTAAGGATTTTTTTGCTGTGACTTCCAGTTTTTTGTCATACTTTATAAAGTTTTTTCTCACTCTGAGATTGTTAGGTTTTTTTTTTTTTAATTCTCTTGTCAACTCTTCTAGTTTTTTTTTTTTTTTTGCTTTTTTCCTTTTTTTTAAAAAAAAAGAATTATTCATTTATTTAATTCCATTTGTTGTTATTATTTTTTAATTTCACCAGAGAGAGACGGAAAGAAAGAGAAAGGGAAATAGCAAGCCACCAGTTCCGGAACTCAAACAACAGTTGCCCATGTGGGAGTCCAGTGCCTTTAACCACCACACCACCTGCCGATCTGCTTTTTATTTTCTTTTAACCTTTAATTCTTCAAATCATCCAGCATTTTTTAGTAAAGTGTTAACATAAATTCAGAAATCACCCATCTCTTCCCTTGCAAGAATTACTAATTTGAGCCTTGCTTTTTATTTACCTATATATTGTGTGCTCTGACAAAAATCTCTTATACCAGCATGTGCCTCTAACATGAGTCAGACTGACAGAGAATTTTTTCATGAGGCAGCTTGCCTCATGAGAAGATCATCTTCAGGGTCTAATAAACCTGGTTTTGAATGCCAACTCGGCAACTTTTTCACCCACACAACAGGTTACATAACCTTCCTGCACCTTTGGTACTTCATTTGTAAATGTGCCCCATTTTGCAAATTAGTTGTGATAAATAGGAGCTACTACGATTTTCACTGATGTCACCAATATCAGGAGCGTGATGTAGGTGTGAATGCCATCGTGTTCCCCCCACATGCAGCCATTCTTCAGTGAAGGCTGGTGTTCCTGGAAATGAGTTATGGGGCAACCCAACCTAAGACAAAAGGCATTGCAAGTATTGATCAGGCTGGCATTTTTAGGGTCGAGTTCATGCATTTCAGGTAAGTACTCAGTTGTTAGAGTGACTATTAAATACTGTTACACTTGAGTAGAAGATGAGTCCTGTCTGTAGTTTGGTTTTGCAGCTAGTGTATAAAGTTATCAGCCAGTATTAGTTTGTCAGTGTATTTGGCCATACAGCTTAAGAAACATTGTATGATCTGCGTGTTCTCTTTACAGAACCTGTGTTCAATCCTGTTGTGAGTCTAGAAATTATTGGGTGCAGAAATTTAGCAGTCTAAATAGAAGTTGGTATCTAAATTAACTTCTGTTTTAAACCAATCCTCTGGGACTTAGTCCCACTATGTAATTCTTTATTGTTTCATTTCACACTCCTTCATGTATTTGATCTTCCAGATTTTTTTCTATGCAAATTTTCTTCTGAGATTTTTTTTTAACCTATTGCTTTTCCTTTAATTTTAACATTTGCCTTTTGAGAGCTTTTATTGTAGTTCTTCCCTAGATGAACTCAACTTCTTTCATTATTTTTAAATTTATTGCTAATAGTCTCATTGTCTCTAAAATATCACTTTCCATTTTTTTTCAGGCTTCTGCCATACGATACGTGCATTTGTCAGAGACAAGAGAGATAGAGAAAGGAAAAGTGAGAAATCACTCCCCCAGTGGGGATGGCCATGCCACAGTCCCTTCTCCTCCATTCTTCTATCAGGATTTTGGGCACGCATGCTCATGTGCCCCGTGTGATTTTCAAACCACCAGGTTGGGGACTTGAACTGAAGTCAACCATGTGGAAATCCAACTGTCTTAACCAGCACATCACCTGCTGGCCCCCCATTCTGTTCTATTGTATGTTCTGCCTACTCATGCTGCACTTTTTTAAGCTGACATGCTGAACTTCCCTCTCCCGAGCATCTCAGTAATTATCAATAATTTAGAAAACCTTGTTCTATATTTCTTGAGCCCCAAATGTGTTTACTAGAGTCTGCTATTTCTATGTAAACTGTGGACACCTAGTTTTTCTCCACTATCAATGTTAAGAAAACTTCCACTTGGGAAATTTTACTTGGTTTTACACAGTAAGTTTCTCCCTAATCAGTAATCAGCCCACAGGTAATTACCAGGTGCCAACTATTTGTCAGGCCCTGAGACTATAAGTGATTAATTGCCTCTTGAGAAGTTTACTTTCTACAGGGAAGACCAAGAGCATTGAGCAACAATTGGCATCATTTTGGTCACTGTGGTTATGGAGGAGATAAAATGAAATTATTAGTCTCTGAATACTTAGAACATGGGGTCTTAATTTCCTCTATATTTGCGATGTAGATAATGAAAACTTAACCCTTGATGTTGTTTTTCTGTTTTCAGGGATGACTCCGTTCCGGAAGACAACATCTGGAGAGGCATCCTCTCTGTTATTTTCTTCTTTCTTATCATCAGCGTATTAGCTTTCCCCAATGGTAAGTAATGTAGCGTATTGCCATACTTTTCCTATACATTGTGCCCTTTTGGTGTTTTTGAGGCATGAATCGTCTAGAGAATGAAACTAGAAAATGAAGTAAAAATAATCTGAATTTTGTGGCATGGTTCAGAGCATAGGGTCTGAAGGCAAAGTGCCCATTCTGCAGCTTCGCAGCTCTGTGGTCTTAGAGGAGCCCCAGGGTGGCTTAAGAGTACTTCAGTCTGTTGTGTTAGATGGAGATAACAGGGAGGTGCTACACTCTGTGAACGGTGACTGGCAAATTGTGAGCTCCCAGTGTCAGCTTTTATTATTGTCGGCTGAGTTGCAAAACACTCATTTGCTGCTGAGGTACTCCTTTTCCTAAGGACAAGGTCAATCCAGTAGTGAATGTTTCTTAAATAATTCATCTTCAGGTGATCTTTTGTCACAATAAACTTTGCTGATGATGCATTTGGGCTGTGAATTTCTAAATGAAGGAAAAAAAGGCAGTTGTTACTCTACATTTTGTCTCAATCATGATTGTAGAAGGAGTGAGGAAACGCCCTTGTTTAAAACACAGTTTTGGTATTGTGCCATGCTAGTGAGTCATTCCTTTCTGCTGAACTGTGCCTTTCACATTTATTTATTTATTTTCAGTACCTTTTCCCTAGGATATCCTCTACCTTTTTTGGGTAACCATTTCTAAATACTCACTCATATCCTTTATATTTTTTTTCAGAGAGATTTTCACTATAGGGCACGTGCACTCGCCAAAAAGACAGACAGAGACAGAGAGAGAAAGTGAGAAATCACTCCCCAGGGGGGATGGCCACGCCGCAGTCCCTTCTCCTCCATTCTCTTCTCGGGATCTTGGGCACGCACACACACGCACACGCGTGAGTTTAAGCCACTGGGTCCGGGACTCGAACCGCGGTTGACTGCATGGGGGTCCAGCGACATTTAGCCATTACGCTAACTGCTAGTCCCTATTTATTTATTTTTTAAGGTACCAAAGGTAATGAGGTTTGGGGATTAAGTTTACTTGACATAACATTTTTTTGAGATTTCTACTGGTTTTTCCTCTATTGCCTAATGAAGTCCTCAAAGTTGACTTAATCTTCAAAGTAGACTTAATCTGCCTAATCTCTCATTGTGGACCTGTGCTTTTATTTTGATTTTGGACAGATAGAACCTAAGCTTGCCTATGCTTTCCTAGTCATGGCCGTTTGGACTTTGCTACGTACAGAGAGAGAAGGACCCACAGAGCTTGAGAGTGCAGCCTGCTCAGGTTACAGATGCGAAAGCTGACCTGTGTCTGGGTCATCCATGGGAGCTCACCCAGCCACTTGCTATCGGCCTGTCATCAGGGCCTCTAAGCACTCCTCATTTCCTTCCTCAGTGTTGTTCTGCTCATCTCCTATTAGGTCCGTTGTGATGTGTTTTATTTCTGTCTTCCTACATAATATGTTTCTGTCTCCTTCTGTTTTTTTTCCCTTTCTGCCAGTCTGGCTATTCTCTCTCCCCACAGTGGGATTCTAGTTGGCCTGTACCTGGTGTGCTTTAGATCCTACAGAAGGGGGCTGGTGGTCGAAACTGCTTCGTCATTGCCCAAATGTTGTCTGTCTGTACCTGGCAAATTGATCTGAACCTTCCAGTTGTCTCTTTTTTCTCCCCTAGACTTGCTTTATCATCTTCCCGCCTCTACCCATATACTATAGTGTGCTTAATGGTTTGTCCCCCAAAGGTTTGTGTTTTGGAATTTGGTCCCTTATGTAATGGCTTTGGGATGTGGTGAGACTTTTTTTTTGAGAGGTTTTTCCTATAGGGCATGTGCGCCCACCAGAAAGACAGAGAGATAGAAAGCGAAAAATCACCCCCTAGCGGGGATGACCACGCTGCAGTCCCCTCTCCTCCATTCTCTTGGAATCCTGGGCACGCACGCACACGTTTAAGCCACTGGGTCCAGGACTCGAACCACGGCCGACCACATAGGAGTCCAGCAACATAGCCATTCTGCTAACTGCTTGTCCTGAGATGTGGTGAGACCTTTAAGAGGGGAGACTTAGCAGACAGTGGCTGGACTGTGGAGGCCTTGCCCTCATGAATGGATTAAAGCCGTCCCAGGAGAGGGAATACATTCTCACTCTCATTCTAAGGGGTTCGTTCCCACAAGAGTGGGGATATAGAAGAAAGATGACTGCTCCCAAGTCTCTTTCTCTGTCTCTTTTCTGTGTCTGTTATTTTCTCTGTATCCATTATTCACATTGTAATGCAAGCTGGCCAAGTGCCAGCCTCAGGCCTTTGGATTCTTTAGGCATCAGAACTGTGAGTCAAGTGAGCTTCTTTTTATAAGTCACCCAGGCTCAGGTATTTCTGTGTGTTTGATCCACAGCAAAATAGCAGACTAAGAAAATGTGTGTCTACACACACACACACACATACCACTCATCTGTAGGGAGAACACACCAAAAATAGGTACAGGTCCTTTGGCCTACAAGACTGACCACAGTTCTTGAAAAACACACCAGGATGTGAGCATGCGTGCTCCAAATCCCAGCAGGATGAAGAAATGGAGGACAAGGGACTGTGGTGCTTTCTCCCTCTGTCTCTCTCTAATGAATGTACATGCTCTCTGGCAATTACAGAGAAGAAAAGGATAGTGGTAGTTCAGTGGTAGTTCCGTGTCCTGTGTGGGAGGGACTGGGACGTTTATTAGGGAGGCGAGTACTTAGAGGGAGTTCTCGAAGCCAGATGTATGTAGCAAAAACATTGTGTGTACTTTGTTTTTAAAATCCATTATTCACACTTTGCATAAAATTAATAAAACTTTCCGTTTTCCACATGAAGGAGTGTTATTGAGTATTTTAAGATTGGGAGTGGCTTTAGGGGGTGCCAGTGGAAATGGAGAGCTGGCAGGGTCATTAGAGAAGGGTGTCCGTAACCTGTGTCACCTGCCCCCTCAGAGCCAGTTTTCAGTTGTCAGGCCTTGCCGGGAGCTGTTGTGCTGAGGTCCCTCTTCTCTGAGAGGTGTATACATGCCTCTTCTTGCTCCAGTCTTGTCATCTTATTTTCCGTTCTCCCATCCTTGGCATGTAGTCTTAAATTAAGAAATCAAAATGAATGTGAGAAATGAAACCTGAATCCTACCACCTCCTTCAAGGTAGTTTTGGGGAAGCACTGGATAGCATGCCCAGAATGATTCCATTTTGGCAACTTCAAATGCACTTATCCTTGACCTAGTAGTGAAGGCTGCCCTGCATGTTTATGGGGGTTTGATTGTATCCATATGTCTCAGTTCCTGTGAGGGAGTTCATATATGCTACCTGTGTGGCGAAATTGGTCAACTCCAGCGGGAAGGGGGCCCTATGATTCTTATGTACAGTCTGAATTAACAAAGAAGGCCCTGAATTTTCTCCACAATGTTTTATAACTGCCCAAATGCTTTTGGCTACATTTAACAGAAAACTCATTTTGAAATGGCTTGAACAATAAGGAAAATGTTTACTTTCTTAAGTCACAGTCACAAGAAGATCAACGGTAAGATGGTTCCTGGGTTGGCCAGCTAAGCAGTTCACAGCATGGAACACCCAGATTCTCTACCTCTTTCTTTTCTGCCGTCCTCAGTGTGGTGGGCCCAGCCTGGCCTCTGCCCCAGATAGCTCTTCTTGGGCTGGACGTACAGTGGTGGGTGATGTCCAACAGAACTAAATGCACACTCTTCCTGGGGGCCTACTATTAAAGTGTGAAGAAACCTTTTCTAGAAACCCTCCGGCACATTTGCCTTCACATCGCTTTGTCTAGAATTGGACCACCTGTCTCTGCTCTAGGCAGTCTGGAGGAGAGGGGTTTACAATACCTGGAGGTACAGATGTTTACTACATACCTAAGTGCTGTAAGGCCAACAAGGGACCGGGATTACCTCCATTGGCTTGGCATTCACCCCGAGTCACACATGAGAGGAACAGACAGACAAAATCCCACTGGACAATCAACAGGGTGTATGGCAGGATAAGGTTCTCTAGGGTTCCTTCCTTCAGTCCTAAAGACAGACGTGGAAGGAGAGGACCAGGGGAATGAGAGTCTATGTCCACTCAAGCTTCTCTCCTGCCACCATCTTCCCTTCCACCCTGTTTTTCTATTCTTTCTTGGCTCCTTTAAAAAGAAATATTTTTAATGCTACCTCCATCCCATTTTAGCAACTGACACTCAAATATAAGTGCAATTTTAAATATACCATCATATCACTGGAGTGAAATTTAGAAACCTATCTGAGTCTGCAGTTGGCAGTGAGACTTCTTTCAACAGGTGACCTTCTGGTATGTTCCACAGCTTCTGAGGGGTTCCTTAAACTGCTTATCTCCCCTTCCACCCTACCTAAAGCAGCCCACCCTGACCTGAATCTCCAGAGCCTGACCCACCCATCAATCAATAGCCTACCATAAACATATGTTAAATTAATGACTCTATCAGAAAAAATAACTTAGAGAATTACCTCACTTTCCCTTTAGTTGCCTGAAAGAGGAATAACATTCAGCACTTCTTTAAAGTATTTTTAGGAGAATAAATTACTAGTATTTCTTGATTTTCCTGAGTTTATCATTCTGTTTGTTCTTCCACCTCATTTGACTTCTCTGAGCTGAGATAATGCTAATCATGTCTCTTTGATGTTTGAAAGTGATCAGAAGGTTCACCTTCTACTAAATTTTTAAAACTCCCCTCTCTTCTTTGTCCTCTGCTTCACTAGTTTTTTCTTGTAAATGGAATTCTTTTTTAGGTTTGAACTTTGCTTAGAGATAATTTTATTTACCTTTTGAAGGTGTTCTTATGAGAATTTAGACTTTAAAATCCAGCTACTCCTCATTTAATGATCTACCTGATTACCAACCACTTGAGCTTATGACCTGCTCTCCAGCAAGGGAAATCCTCTTTCTCCACTTTGTCTTGTTCCCACAGTGGGTTAGTAATCACTACAGGAAGTGTTCACAATCACGTAAGACTACATATGTTATTTATAAATGTGTCCTTTATTAGGTACCCATAGTAGTATTCAGAATAAATAAAAACGATTACTCCAGATTTATGTTATTGTGTTATGGTGTGTCTTATCACTTCCTGGTATGTATCTAATTTTTGAATAGATAGAATTACATTATTCTAATGTGGCGTCATGTAATAGGTATTGAAAAATAAGTTTCCTGTGGCTCCATGACACCCCACAAGACATCTGCCTTTTAAGTTCCTTGTGTATAGACCAATTCACTTAAAGATCTAACCTAGTCTTAGGAATGGAACTTGGTAGGGTGTTTAAGGGAGGTGTGCCTGTACAAATGACGAGAAGAAGCCAACTAAGAAGGCTTGCCCAGAGCCTGTGGCCTGAGGATACAAACATGTAAGCTGGTGGATAGCCAACTTCTGACTTTTGTTAAAAGAATTATAGTTCCTAGGGACCAGAAGATGGCGTAATGGTTAGGTAGCTGGACTCCCATGTCAACCACAGTTCAGAGCCCTGGACCTGGCAGCTTAAAACTCATGCCAGATGCATGTGCATGTGTGTGTGTGCCCAAGATTCCAAAAGGAGAATGAAGGAAAAGAGATTATGGCATGGAGAATGATTTCTCACTTTCTGTCTCTCTGTCTCTCTGTCTCTCTGGCTAGCATATGCACCCTATAACAAAAATCTCTTTAAAAAAAAAAAAAAGAATTAAAGTTCCCTAAAGTTAAGACCCTTGTACCTAATTATTCATGGGTATAGCTATTTCTGATGAGTCAAGGAATGACCTTATTTTCTCATTTCTGACTTAGTTTTTTAAGTGCTCACTCTTCCTATAACAAAGACTTTGGGATTCTGTTTGTCTTGAAATTAAGCTTGCTCTTAATATCTGATTGAGAATGATGTCCTCTAGATGCAAGGGCCGATAAACTAAGACAGGTAGCTTGTAAACATGCCTCATAAGAAAACTAAGATCCAGAACAAAACAGCATCTGTCTCTGCCTCACTGCCCAGAAAATGTCTTCCCCGTCTCTCCTGCATAAACAAGATGAGTAACCAAACTGAGGATCCAAATTCTTTTAGGGTGCTTTTCTCAGATGGGAATTAAAGCACCGAGGTCTGGCCTCTGGCGTTGTCACTGCTGTGCAGGACTGCAAAGCTAGAAGCCACCCCTGACTGTGGTTCAGTTCAGGTCACCAGCCAAGTTGGCCTTAAACATGCCAGGGTCGCGTGTGCCCAGCCAGGGTCTTGGCGAGCTGGCAAATCAGAGGAAGGAGATTGCAATGTGACCAATCCCTGTGGAGGGTGTCTCTCTGTTTCTCTCTCTTTCTTTTGCACATACACACACTCTATCCTGAATAAAAAGAATGAAAGCTGTCCCTTAGAAAGCATGCTATGAAGTGGGGCATGCCTAATAACCTCAGAACTAGAACAGTAGTCAGGGAGAGAAAGGGGGTGCCTCTTTATGAGACCACTGAGAAAATGGTCTGTTGGGAAGTATGACTTGTTCAGGGGGCACTGAGGGTCCCAGGATGCCATAGGTGTCTTGACGTGCCTGAGAGGTGACTGCTCTGGAGCGTGGGGCTCCTCCGTTGCATCTCCCTTGCAGGCTGAGGCTCTTCCAAAGTGACTTGGCTATGGTAAACACATGGGGTGACCTAGTGAGTGCAGGGATCAAGGCCTGGAATAGAGGAAGACGGCCAGACTCATCGGCGGGTCGCTTTGTTTTGTTTAGCAAGGTTACTGACTTTGACGGTAAAGATGGTACTCTCAGTGTGGAGTGCTGCTACCGTGTACTTCCTGAGCACCACATGGAAAAATTCAGAGCTGCTTCTCAGCAAGTAGAGGGCAGTTGTGACGAGCCTCATAACTTGTGAGGAGGCAGATGTGATGATTGAAATAAAGCCTGGCTTGAGTTTTGAAGTGAGCTACTGGAAGGGTCACCTTATATATAGTCAGAAGACACATGGCAGTGGGACCAGCAGGTGGCATGGTGGTTAAGGGTGCTGGACTCCCACATGGTTCGAGTTCTAGACTTGGTGGCTTGCTTTCTCACTTTCCCTTTCTCTCTCCCTCTGTCTCTAGTAAAATTAAAAAATAATAACAAATAGAGTTAAATAAATAAATCTTTTAAAAAAAAAAAGAAGACACATGGTGGTGCTGACCTACCAGGTAAGGGTAGGCCTGACTTACACCTCCAGAGGTATCAGTTCCCTGCCCTTCCCTGGTCCTTTCCATTTTTCCTGACCTTGCTCATCACTTCCTTAAGTAAACCTTCCTCTTTGTGTTTTTGTTTTGTTTGTTTTTTAATTGTCAGAGGGCATGTACACTTACCAGAGAGAGAGAAAGCACGCCTCAGTGGGTCATGGTCATGCCACAATCCTTTTTCCTCCATTCTTCTTCCTGTAAGGCTCCTGGGCATGCATACATAACTGCCCGGTATGTTTTCAGATCTCCCCGGGCCAGGATTCAAACCATGGTTGGCTCAAATGTAGATCTGGCTCCTCATGCATAGGGCTTAACCACTGTGCTATGGGGATCCTCCGCTCTAAACCACCCTCGTTTGTATGGCTCTCCCACTGTCCTCGCTCTGAAAGCAATTCTGTTCATCCCTCTAGCTCTCCTTCTCCTGCACTGACCCAGTCTGTTACAGGGTACAGGAGAGTATACAGGTGCCCTTCATCCTGGGGGCAGACCAAGGTGACGGCTGAGGTGGAATCCTCTGGGCTACATGTTCTCATCCTCAGGATCCTTTCCCGTGAAATGGAAATGGGGATTACACGGAGTCCTCAAGAGAGTGAGACACTGCGTGGAGGTCTTGTTCCACAGCCTGGTGACAGTAAGTGCTCAGGGAAGCACTGCTGACTGTGATCAGTGTGACTGCTCACCAGAGTAATGCTGTTCGTGACCTTAGGTGTCAGGTGGGCATGGTATTCTTCTGCAAGCCAAATCATAGGTCATAAAATTGGAGCGTTGGACTTTGTGAGAGGAAAGCAGAGAAAAAGCTGGAATTCTACTATATCCAATTCCACTAAATACCAATATCATTAATTTAATGATATTGATGAAGTAATATTTGCAAGCCATGCAGCCAACCACCTGAATACTGAAGTCACTCCTGGGAACATGTCAAGAACCGTCACCAGTCATCAGATAAGAGTAACATTTGGAGGAAAATCATTGCAAAGATGAGTGTTTTAGCCATCAGTTTCCCAATGACTTTGGACAAAAGGTAGCCACGTTCTGTTGCCTGGAAGAGAAGATTCTGGTGCTTATGCTTCACAGTGACTTTCTGAGAAAGAAGCAGCTGACTGAAAAAGAACACGGGTGTTCTTCAGTGTCTGAGCCTTCGCTCTCAGAACTCAGAGATCAAATGTATCTGGATAAACTATTCAATAATTCCCTCATCATGTGAGCTCTCACTTCTGCCATCAAAAATTAGGAACTTAATTCATTTGAATTTTAGAACAGAATCTCACCTACCAGAGCTCTCATTGTTTAAGGAATGATACAGATTTGGATATTAGGGGCCTCTTAGGATTTTCCTAATCTGAGTTTGATTCATTAAAAGACAGGAGTGAGAATATGTTTCAGTGTAGTCTTTTTATAAAGACATAGATGAGTTTAGCATGAGTTGCAGAATGAAAATTACAGAGCAATTCATGTTTGCCTTAGACAGGATTCAAGGTTACAAGCCACAGGGGTTGACTCTGCTCATTAAAGAGCCTGGTAAAGAATGCGGACTGGCTCAGAGATTGTAGGAGGGCTTGGAAAGCTGGCCTGAGGCTAAACTAAACCAGGCACCACACTCAGAACCGGTCGGAGGACAGCCCAGCAAGCCTTGGCCAGAGTCTGCCCCCCTGTCATGTCTACAGTGGATTTCAGTGGAACTGCTCCTGTCACCATGCCCAGTGCTACCTCAGTGTGGGGGTCCCCACCACCCTACTAGCACCCCAGCTGACCAGGGCCAGAGAGATGGAGAGGGTACTCTGCATACTTCCCTCTACTGTCACTGATTCAAGGTCCAGTCTGGCCTAGGTGCAGCTGAAGACTGAGCCCTAGCTGTGAAAAAAGCTGAGAGACCAGCTCTGGCATCCTCTGAAGCCATGGGATCCCTAGTGTGGGAAAGTCTCCAAAAGATGTCTGCTCAAAGATGGGTGTCCCCACTGCCCCACCCCACCCCACCCCCCAAAAAGAAAACACAACATGATAAGAAACCATTAGAATAGTGCTTGTAGATGTTTCCGAGTCAGACTTCTTCAGGTAATGGTAACCTGACTTAGTAGATCAAGGCCCTCCTGCCTCTTTTCCTTTCTTCCTTCCACTTTTACTGAAATAGAAGATAAAATACTGATGTACCACTTGCAGGAGGTTTCCTCCTGTGAAACTTTTCTTCTGACTGTGTGAAATCTGCATCTGTCTCTAAACTGGACTGCCGTGTGAGAGCTACGTGTTAGCACAGGTCATAACCAACGGCCACCGTACTGGCATGTTTGGATGTTCATAAGGTTTGTTTTGGGTTCAGCTCTCCACACCACTTGTTTCCAAAGCACAATTTCTTATCTTTCATTTTCAGTTTGTCTGCCTGCCTGCCTATCCATCTGTCCATTCTCCAACCCTCACCATCCATCACCAGCAAAACAAGACTGTCCAGAACTTCTTTCCCTGGAGCCCCTGGGGACACTTGGTGTTCTATTTGCTTAAAGGCTGGCCTGGTCGCCTACTCGCTGTTGTAACACTGTTTCTATGGGAAATGAGGTGGAGAGGTGCCTGTTGTTTCTGATTGTGGAGATAGTGTTACAGTGTAGGTGAAACATTTCAACCTAGACTTTGACCTCCAAATATTACGTTGGAAATAAAATACCATTAAGAGAGCTTCTTATGGTTATCTATTTGGAGATAAGCAGCTTTTCTTTGGTTTGAGTCTCCCGGTTGGAAGCTGGCTCACTCTAACTTTACAGTGTTATGTCTCTGCAGGTCCCTTTACTCGACCTCATCCAGCCTTATGGCGAATGGTTTTTGGTGAGTATCTCTTAGTTGTAAACATATACTGTACTGTACTTTCCAAAATCTTTTCCTGTGTATCACTATAGCACCTTTACTTACCTCTCTATAACTAAAACTTTATAGCTTTTTACTTTCTGATGTTCCTAATATAAATTTTTTAGGAAAATTATTTTTAATTTTTTGTTTCCATTTAATCAGTGTAAAGATGTGTTAATATATGAAAATTCTTTTGTCACAAAATTAGGTGTCAATGATGACTTCAGTTCTCTTACATGCAAACTGTTTCAGCTCCACACACCGCCTTCTGATGCTATTGTGTCTTAAGGTACTTGGGATTTGACTTAAACAAATACTGCTCGTTTTCCCTTACGCGCCTTCGTATTGCTCTTGGCTAGTAGAAGCTCAAGTGCATCTTCTGAGCACATTTGTTTTGTCAGCACCCAGGAGAGAATGAGAACCCAGCAATTCAATTTCTTCAGTGTTACGAATGGAAAAGAACTTCGAAAAGGGAGATGTATTCAGACAAAGAGCCCACGTTGACCTGGAGTTCATTGATAAGCATCTAATATAAATATTGGATATCTTATTTTTACTTGATTTTTTTATAGTCCCAATAGTCAAATTGCCTGAATAAATTTACAATAAATCTTCACAACTTTGTATGTTGGATTCATTTTGCCCAAATAAGATGTTATCAAATAAATCATTTTAGATTTGGAAAATTTGGTCTAATGTACCAGTGTAACAGGACTCTGAAAAACAGGTATTTTGTTAAAGGTTACCTATATATTTCTTTCAACTTGAAGAGATAAGTAACTCTTGATCTCTTTAAAGTTATTGGTAATCTTTTTGCTCAGCACCTGTTCACTGAGTGTGGCTGTGTGACAGGTATTATCTGGGCGCTGGTGTCACCAGGGAAGACCAGACTGGCCAGAGCCTGTCCTCAGATGCCCCTCTTTCAGTGAGGTGAGGTAGGATAGCACAGGAGGACAGCAATCGTAAACAAACCATTAAATCAATAATTAAAAAAAAAAATCAGCTGGCATTAAGTGTTAGGAAGGTAGTTAAAGCAGGGTGAGTTGACTTGACCAGGTGACTAGTTTAACTTTAAGTAGAGAGGGAGGCCTGAGAGACTGAAGCTTAGCCTGAAACGTGTATGTAAAGAAAGACCCAAGGGGCCAGCAGGTGGCATAGTGGTTAAAGTACTGGACACTCCCACATGGCCGGCCACGGGTTGAGTCCTGGACCTGGTGGCTTGCTTTCTCACTTTCCCTCTCTCTCTCTCTTTCTGTGTGTCTCTCTCTCTGGTCAAATTAAAAGAAATAAATGAATGAATATAAATAAATAATTGTTTTTTTAAAAGAAGACCCAAGCATGCAAAGACTGAGAGTTGGGGGATCCCAGGCAAAGGGAAAGGCTATTAAAATGTCTCTACAGCCAGAAATCACTTGGTGTGTTCCAAGCCTCTGTGGCCTAAGAGTAGTGGCCCAGGAAAGCATTTTAAGCGAGACGTGGGCCTCAGAGAGGTGACTACAGACAAGACCAGGGTAAGGAGCGTGGACATACATGGCAGTGGGAAGTCATGGAGGGTGTTCTCCAGAGAAGTAACATGATTACATTTATATCTTTAATAAGGCTAGTCCTGGCTGTATCATGCTTATATCTCACATTATTAAGTCTAATACTGCTCCTTGAAATTATGTTATTTTTAGCTAGTTGGGCACATTGGAGTTTTTTTCTGCTTCACATGATCTGTTGTGGACAATGACCAGTTTTATTTCTTTTCTTTCTCTTTTTGAGAAAGTTCTTTTTGTTTTTGTTTTTGTTTTGCTATCAGATGCATGAGCTCACTGGAGAGACAGAGAAACACACAGAGACAGAAAGTGAGAAATCATCCCCCGGGAGGGATGGCCATGCCACAATCCTTTCTCCTCCATTCTCTCAGATTTTTGGATATGCATGCATATGTGCCTGGTGTGCGTTTCAAGCTGGAGGGTCTGGGACTCGAACTGCAGTCAACCACCTGGAAGTCTAGCACCTTAACCACTATGCTACCTGCTGACCACTAACTTTATCTCTTAACTGATAACTTTTGGGAAACATGGAGCCCTTTGCTAATCGAAGAGAAATAAAGACACCCCCCCCATACACCCATACACACACACACACACACACACACACACACACGCTTACATGCACAGTTCTACATAGTGTGGTAGCTGGGGCCTCACCGACCTCAAAACCAAACCTAGAACTCCAGTTTTAGAATCCCTGCATCTCAGATTCTCTGTCTTAATTATTCCAAAAAGGAGCTTAATTTTAAAAAGCCTAGTGGAGAGCATTTAAGGTGAAAACTTGTGAAAAATGGTGCTTCAGTACAAATCTAACACAGTTTTCATACCAACTTGCCTAGAGATGCCTGGGCCCTAGGACACATGACTGTGGGTCAGCCACGTCCTCTGGGGCCTCTCTTGAACTCCCTGAGGGCTGCAGGGGCCTGTTGCAAGTCCCAGCACCAAAGCACGCACAGTGGATTTCATTCCAGCCACGGACGTTCTCTCCTCTGGAGTGACTCATTGGAGATTAGTGCTGAGCCAAGTTTGGATGGGCCGATGCCATCCAAGGTCATTTGTATCACAGTGTCTAAATGTCCTACATAAACATTTTGTCCTAACAGGTTCAACAGAAAGAGACATGACAGAGCTACTCGTGATTAGTTTTCAGATCTTTCAAAAATATATTGCATAGGATTTTGCCTTCTTGAAGCATATTATTAACTTTTCATTTTAGAATTATATGGGGTGATTTTAGGATAGCACTGATGATATGATATGACAATAAAATAATGCCTGCCCAGGCTAATGCAGAGTATGAGTTTTAGCAGCGTGGCCCTGAGCCACTCAGTACCTCACATCTGGAATGCTAAAGTGGTCTCCAGATTTGACTGTCCACACTCAGCCTTACTCACCTCCAGGCTACTCAGTCAGATTTGCAAACTACTACCTAGATCATCTCATTCCCCACTTAACTCAAGATAAAATCTGAAATCTTGGCCTTGACCTGCAAGCCCTAACTGTTCCTGCTGCGTTGCCTACACCACTCTCCTCTCTGCCAACACCCCTGCCCTTGTTGGGACCAAGACATTCTCTAGGGTCCTACCTGCATGTCCTTTTCTCTCCTTGAATGTCACATGTACTCTTCCGTGCCAACCCAACACAACCTTTGGCTGCTGGTCCTTCAGGCCTCAGCTTAAGCCTTGTTTTCTCACAATGTTCCCGGCCTCTTTTGATCTGAAGCAGAGTAGGTGTCAAACTCCCTCATCAAAGCTTGTGAAAGGGGTCTCAGTAGACTACGTTATAGCACCAGTGTCTGCTTTGGCAGTAAGCCTCCTGAGTCTTCTGTGTGTTGTGAGTTGACAGTCAGATTGCTCCTAAACATGAGCCCGTTTTTGTTCCCCTCAGGACTCAGTGTGCTCTACTTCCTGTTCCTGGTGTTCCTGCTCTTCCTGAATTTCGAGCAGGTTAAATCCCTTATGTATTGGCTAGATCCAAATCTTCGATACGCCACAAGGGAAGCCGATGTCATGGTACGTATTTGTCAGTGGCCTCTTAGAGAAGTGGATAGGCTCTTGGCTGTAGGGTGTAGTTGATTTCACATTTTATGTGTTTTTTTTTTTTTTTTTTTTTTTTTTTTCTTACTTTTTATATAGAAATCTAAAAATTCAGAGATTTTTTTTTCTAGATTGCCATTTTTTTTTTTTTTTTTTTTTTTTTTTTTTTCCTACTTCTTATATAGACATCTAGAAAGTACCTCTGGGCAAGTAGTTGAGTTGCATGGTTTTCCACAAGTGATGCAGTTCAGAGTGATGAAGTCTCTCATGGGGCAAAAGGGTGTTCTTGGAAGGTGTAAACATGTCGTCAGACAGCCGTGGGCATGGATTCTGCCACTGTTCACTGTGGGCAGTAGGACTTTGGGCTAAGTATTTGTTGGCCTATTCCCTTTTTCTAGGGTGAAAGTAGTGTTGCTTATTGTGAGGAGTTCTGGGTAAGTACGCAAAGCAACATTACAAGGCTTGACATACCCAGGCCCTCCAAGCTGGGGCTGCTCCTACTCCCGTCAGGTTCCCCTCAGCACCTCTGCTTTTGCCCCCAGGCCCCTGTAGCCATGATCCTACTCATGAACAGGGCATTTGTAATGATTCAGGACATTCTATTTGTTATTAAACAACACACACATACAGATTGTATGCTCAGCTAAAATAATTCTGTATCTTGGCATTTTTTAAAGAAACTGCTCATATGGGAAAAGCCAACTGGTTTTCTCTACACTCACACTCAACTTCTGAGACCGAATGGGTGGTTTTTCCCACATCAGCCAAGCTCTATATCTTTTAGCACCAGTTGGGGGTCCTAGAGTATAATTCAATTCTGATACCATCTACTTGAAGTGATTTAGTGTTGGAGCCCACAGGTTAAGGGCTCTGTCCCCAAGACTGTCCCCACTTCGGACACAAATCCAGGTTATCACTTGTGCTGCTGACTGACTAGCTACAAATTTGGGGTTCCCATACTGCTTCCCCTTGAACCTGATCCTTTCCTGTAATGACTTGCTGACTCAGAGAAACACTTCTGTTTACTGGTGTGTTATGAAGGCATAAAAGGCCCAGTGATGGTCATACATGCTGGTAAACACTGCTGCTTCACAAACTGAGGCCTCATGGGAAGCCCAGGTTCAATTCCCAGCGCAACCTAAGGGCTGGACATGGTAGCACACATCTGTAGTCCCAGTTGCTCAGGAGGTTGAGGCAGGAGGATTACAACATAGTGAGACCCTGCATTAAAAAAAAAAAAAGAGTACAGATGAATAGCAAGATGAAGAGATATGAAGGGTGAGGCACGGAAGGGTCTCAAGTGCAGGAATTCTTGTCCCCGTGGAGTTGGGGCACAGTATACCACCCTCCCAGCAGAGGTATGCTCAGTAACACAAAACCTCTCCGAACCAGGGATTTTAGGAATATCGTCATGTGGACATGATCTTTTTTTTTTTTTTTTTTTTTTTTTTTGAGAGGTTTTTGCTATAGGTTGTGTGTGCTCACCAGAAAGACAGAGAGAGACATAGAGACAGAAAGCGAGAAATCCCCCCCCAGGGGGGATGGCCAAGCCGCAATCCCTTCTCCTCCATTCTCTTCTTGGGTTCTTGGGCACGCACGCACACGCACCTGGCGTAAGTTTAAGCCACCAGGTCCGGGACTAGAACTGTGGTTGACTACATGGGAGTCCAGTGACATAGCCATTACGCAAATTGCTGGTCCTGGACATGATCAATTATTACTCCAGTCTCCAGAGGGTAGGGGATGGGGCTGAAAGTTACATGCCTCTAGAATTTCTGGTTACTCCCGCCCACCCTCTCTCCACCCCCACCCCCCACACTCCCATCTAGGAGCTCACAAAAAACATTGGAACAAAAGACACTCCTATCAGCTGGGGAATTCCTAGGGGATTTTAGAAATGGCTTGAACAATAAGGAAAATGTTTACTTTCTTAAGTAAACATTGGTGAAAGACCAAATATTAGAACAAAAGATGATCCTATTTCCCCTACTGCTCAGAAATTACGAGAGTTTTAGGAGCTCTGTGCCAGGAACCAGGGATGAAAACCAAAATTTATCCTTTACATCTTAAATCACAATATCATACTATTTTATATTGTAATATTCCTTTCCCTTTTTTTTGAATGCCTAACATTTGTACAGATAAAGAAAAACTTGGTGATACTCAGAAAAGGAAAGGAGCAGGCACTTGGGCCATAGATAAGAAATAATAAGAGAGTTAGTAATAAAGTTTAAGAGGTGATTATTCCACTGTCATTCTACAGTGAAAATCTCTCCAAAAAAAAAAAAAAAAGAAAGAAATTACGAGAGTTTTAGGAGCTCTGTGCCAGGAACCAGGGATGAAAACCAAAATTTATCCTTTACATCTTAAATCACAATATCATACTATTTTATATTGTAATATTCCTTTCCCTTTTTTTTGAATGCCTAACATTTGTACAGATAAAGAAAAACTTGGTGATACTCAGAAAAGGAAAGGAGCAGGCACTTGGGCCATAGATAAGAAATAATAAGAGAGTTAGTAATAAAGTTTAAGAGGTGATTATTCCACTGTCATTGATATAGGTCAGACCTTTCTTAGAATGCTATATCTAGATTTTTATCTTTTTTTTTTTTTTTTTTT